GGGGTTGTTCTGCGGTACCCCATTAAAGTTCCCTCCCGCATGGGGACATCCCACATCTTGTCTCATCCTTGGTGGAGCCCATCATCATCTGAATCCAGCCCCCCCAGCCCCCATAGCAGGGGGTCCTGATGCCTTTTCTAATGAACAGATGCATGTAAACTGGTGGCACGTTTAAATCTGAGTGGTGGTGCAGATTGGGATTCTGGGAAAAATAAAAGTGTTATTGGGGACGAGTGAGCAATAAGCACTTAATCTCTCAGGACAGCTGATCCTGGGGGGCGGTGGGAGGGAGGGGGGCAGATCAGCACTGGTGTGAGAAGTGGATAGAGTGTGTGAGAGGAGGCGAGGATTCCTGATAAGAGAGCGGGAACGTGGAGGGCTGGCTTGCCAAGGCATGGCCGGGAATCGCACAGCAGAGATAAGGGGCAGGGGCGTGCTCCTGTTTCCCAGAGCAGATAACAGATCCTGGAGGGACAGCGTTCCAGCAGTCGGGAGAGGAACCAGAGCCTGGAAGAAGATGGGAGACTTGGAGTCGGTGGGTGAAAAATAAAAGCCGGCCGTAAGTCCTGCAGTTTGTCACGCCGGAGTCCGCATTTGTCTCCAGGAAATCTTACAAACTCCATATCCCCCACGGAGCGATCGGCATCGATCTCCTCCTTCCACCCCTGCTGTTTTGTGGAAAAAATATGGCAGGAGAGTGATGCATGGACCTGGGAAACTCCCCCCCCCCCCCACTGTGTACCACAGCTCTTTGCCGTTCCAAACAACGTAGCCTCAATCCACATGAACAGGAAATGGAATTTTCTCTCCTTTTATCTTTTTGGTTTTTTTTCTTTCGGACAACGAAATGCAGTGTCACTAAGGATCTGGCGAAGATGACGGCTGGATCTTTCTGCCCCCCCGCCCCCACCAAACACACTCCCTTTGGGATCCGCGTCCTGCTCTGACATCGCTGTCTCTGCCAAGTGCTCGTCTGCTGTGCCGCTGGAGCCCTGCCAGGCCCCCAAAGCCCCCGGGACCTTGTTCGGCCTCCCAGTCGGCACCGGATGCATTGCACAAGAGTCTCCATTCCCTGCAGAACCCCCCCGGCCGCTGAGAAGCCACGCTGTAATTCAGAGGAGCATAATGAGACCAGAGGCACTTTGGAAATCAGAAGATTAGTTCCGGATTTGAGAATGAGCCGGTCGGCAGGAATCCCGAGGGCGGATTTCTCACAGCTGGATGCCGGCAGACGGGACAGATCTGAACGACAAGAGCGGTGAGAGAAAGAGACACGATAACCAAAGTGCCCCCCGAGCTTCTGGCAGCTCCGTAGCATGGGGATTCTGCCCTGGAGGGGCAGTATTTCTGAACGCCACGCTCTGGGATGCTGAGATTCGGCTTCGGCCCGCTTGAGCGATTGCGTTTCTTATCGGGAAGTTCCCTCCCTCTCCCCGGAGCATATGAGCAATGAACAAATCAGGAACAGAAGCTTAGGAAATCTTAGCATTCCAGTCAATTCAATTAAAGATTTGTTTGTGCGGTCGTTTAATTAATTGATTGATTCATTTATTGACTAATCAATCCATCCATTCATTTTCTGAAGCTGTTTGTCCTGTTCAGGGTCGCAGGGAGCCGGGAGCTCGATGTATCACTAAATTAAAATGCAGGCAGAATTATAGGGATGTTTTTGTTATTTAAATAATTGTCAGTTTTGTATATTTCTCAGATGTGAATTATGAAGCAAGAGGTAATTGAATATTTAATGATTAGTGGACGTTTAATGGCTTCGTGACCCTGACTGGCAGAAAACACTGGCGCTTGTTATTTAGTGTTAATTTGTCATTTGCGTTGCTTGGTCTGAGGGGTACAAATCTAACGAAGGGAACTCACTTTACGCTCTTATTAGAGCAAAGGACCTCATTAGGAAGGAGGCTCTGATCGTTTTAGCTGTTGCTCAACACCTAGATGAGGGTCTATTAACCAAGACCCAAAACACAGGAGGTTCCGGCCCGGGGTAGAACGTGGGGGTCAAACGACCTGGGTTAACCCCCCTGCTCCACTGGATCTTAACATCATCCAGCCATTACTGCTCTGGTGTCTGTTTGCGACGCTCTCCGTATCGTGGCTCAAACGGACACGCAGTGCCGCCGTTAAGCTGCCTCCTAACGCTTCCTTTTCCAAACTGCATTGCGGGGGTGTCTGTTTTTGGGGAAGGTGTCTGTAAAGGGGGCGGCGTGGATGGGCATGGCCTGCATGGCCTGCAGGCAAACATGCGATACAGAGACACTGGGGATAAACAGCTAATCAGTCACTGCTGGGGGGGGGGATTGGGCACTGAGTCCCAGGGAGGAGGGTGAAGTATAATGAGGAAGAGTCACCTCTCAGAAAGCTTTAGTGAATCGGGAACGGGGGGGGGACCTTTGATGTCCATGAAATCTTGCTCTGCCCAATATTACACCTGTTTACATGGTTGTCTACCCACTACCACACAGTGCCTATATCCTCACTCTCACAGGACAATAATATTCATACAGACGTATATATGGGGGCTGAGTGGGTCTTACAGTGACCTCACACCTGCCGAGAGACATGTGACCTCACGCAGGTCGCAGTGAGTGTCCCCTGGGAGTTTAGCATCTGAAGGGGGCGGGGCTTGTAACTGCAAAGCACCCCGCATACCCCCCCACGTTACAGTGGTCTGTCATTACTGACGCAGCACCATCCAGGAGCCAAAACACAGTCTGATGTGGAGAGCTTTGTGCAGAGAGCGAGCAAATGGATGGGTACGGAGCGGGGGGGGGTATGCAGGGTGCTTTGTGCAAATCGTGGGAAGGGGGCCATAGAAGGGGTGTGTGAGCAGGTGTGGTCTGTGTAGGGAGAAGTGGCATTCCTGTGGTCGGGGGGGGGGGGCTTTGATCAGGAATGGCGGAGATTACGTGATGGAGGCGGGGCTGGGGGGGCAGTTAAAGGAGAACAGCTGCTCCTTCCTGATGTGGAAATGCTTTGTTGTGAGACAGATCGTGGCGGGGGGGGGCATCTGGATTGTCTCAGCAATTAGGAGGGCAATGAGATATTGGCTTGGAGCTCCTTGGAGGGGTTCATGGGGGCTTAAGACATCCAGGGGAGTCCAGGTGGATGATGATGTAGGCAGGATGTGAGGAGAATGCACAACATCTGAGGATGCAGGCACCATACAGAGGTTCATCATGATTGGACGCTGGGGTGTCACATGACGTGAGGGGGGTTTGGCTAAGCTCCTTTAACAAGGGCAGACTTTCAGCCAGACAGCGAATGTCTGTGCGAATGTTGACCCAGTTCTGGCCCGTGTTCCGTCTCTCTGTGTGTCGGCCCCAGAATTTCGGGTTAAACGGGCATCTTGGAGCTGCGTATCAGTCCGGGAGGTGGCTGTGCCGTCTTCCCGCCCCCCTCTGTTCTGTAGGGGAACATCTGCTCCGAAACGCCACTGCATCCCTCACTGTCCCACAGGTGCCTGCCTTCTGTAACACTAATGCATCAGGGCTTTGGGGCCTGAACCAGGCCTGTCCTGCCCCCCAGGCCCCGTAATGTTTATGTTGGACCTTAATTTTGTGTAGACGTGCCAAATCCAGTGATCTCTAAGACATCGCACCAAAGTCTCTTTCTATAGATGTTAGACTTGGTTTCTTACTACCATATAGGGCAATTTTATTGCAGACGACTGAAATGCTATGCTGGTGTGTTTGGGTGTGTGTGAATAGTTCTGCGTGTCTCCTTGCCAAGCACACCGTTGTTGTCGTTGTTGTTCTTTAGAAGGATATGCTCAGTGCCTTAATCTGTTTGCGGTTTTTGAGTTTTTATCTTCCACATGTGCTCTGTTTGTGGGGGGGGCAGGGGGGGTCCATCCCCGCAGGAGGTCTTCAGCTCTTTGTGGAGCAGCTGCTCCTTTGGGCCTAATTGCGGAGCACTAACGCCTCACAAGCTCCCTCCCATCCCATTACGCTCTATGGAGAGCGTCCGCGAGGTACGTGGCGCCCCCTATGGGTGACACAGCAGGCTCGCTCCCACGCCTCCCGTCCGTCATCGGAACAAGGCGCCTATTATCCGAGGGCTCCGCTGGATGTCCGTCGAGGCACGTTTTCACCAGCTCTTTGGTCGTAAATTGCTGAAACGCGGCAGGTCTGCGGGCAACCCCACCCCAGGTGAAAAACGACGGGTACACGCACCAAGAGGAATGGCGCCCATGAGGGGACTCGCTGCGGTGTGGGGGGGGGAGTGCCGGCAGTTAGCACGCCTACTCACAGCCGACGTGTAGATGCTTTTTATGGAGAAAAAGAGAGGCCGTTGTTATGACAACTGGGACAGATTTAGGATGGCGTCGGAACAGCGTGCACCCCGAGAGCAGGTGTGTGAGGCCGCGTGAGCATATCCAGCGCACAGCAGAGGAGTGTGTCGTAACCTCGACTGCCACGCCCTTCCCAGGTGTGCTGCCAGCTGCACGGCTGACGACTGGCAGTACAGGGAAGCGCCTGTGGTATGTGGGTTTGACTCCCGTTTGCTTCTGCAGTCCAAAAGCATGCAGTTTGGCTGATTGGCGTCTCTCGAAATTGCACATGGTTTATGGCTGTTTGTGGTGTGTTTGTGTCCCGCAATGGGGTGGCATCTCGTCCAGGGGGCATCTTCTCTCTTTTTTGACCTCATCTCTGTTTTATCACAGGTGTGTGTGTGAGGTGGCACTGTGGCCTCACGCCTACAGGTCTGTGTGTGTGTGTGTGTGTGTGGGTGTGTGTCCTCTGCTTCCCGTGATACTCCCCTGGTCATCGTGACCTTGGTCTGTATGCGCATAGAATGCATAGACATTCCTGTAATACAGGATACTTTATAAATCGGTGTATTCATATATATATTTATACTGTTTCGCTTATTCCCTTTTCCGCTTAGCGGTCACACGCACCTCGCGGTGGTCAGAAGGAGGCTTGATTCAACCTGGGGCAAGAGGGAGGTTTTCCCGCATGAGCAGATCTGGGGCGGGGGGGGGGGGGGGGGGGGGGGGGGGGGGGGGGGGG